AAAAGACTTACTACTCTGACACTGGCAACAGTGGATGCCAAAATTAAGATTATTGCGGACCTTTCATCTTGGACTCCTGATAACTTACCTTTCAGCTGGGCAGATAATATTTGGTATGTTCTTTTATTCTCCATTTTTCTTAACAGCATGCTTAACAGTGTTAAAACTAAGATGCTCAAGAACAGAAATATTGTAATCTCAAAGCATTTAAATGCTCCATCTGTAAGCTGACTGTGCATATTCATACCTAATAGGGTTCTTATAGTCCATTCACATCAATTTTGCCAAAAGACAAAAATACCCCACCACTTACAAATGACTTGAACCACAGTCCTTCAGTGTAGTTTGAAATACCTTATATTTCTTTTTAAATAATGTGGAATTTAGTCATGGTGTATTGCAAACACCATGCAGAGACAGCAAAACTTCAATTGCAATTATGTGCATCTTAAGCTCTTGTTTATGGTTTTAAAATAAAAAGCCGGCAGCGCACCAAGTTAAACGTTTAACATAACTGTTTGCCAGTTTCATTTTATGTTACGAAATACATACTAATAACATTGATAAATCTACTTGTCATAGATTTCAGTTACGGAATATTAGCTATCAGATAAAGTATCTTCCTGGCCAGCACTCTTAGAGCATTGTCAAAAGTGATCCACCTAAATCTGCTGTCTCTTTCCAAGCAAGATCTTCAGTGCTTTAAAACGAGGTACAAAGTGTGGCTGAAAAATGTGTTGTATGCGCTTTGTCTTCCCTGGCATCTGTAGACCACCACAATTCTAGTTGATTCTTAGATGTTAGGATTAGAAGCCTTGCTTTATATTTACGTTGATCTTGCTGCAGCTACACAATTTGGATGGTTATCAGGAACTACTCCTTTTGCCATTGGTGTAGGCAAAAAAGGCAGCCCACAAAGGTCCACCAACTTTCTGATGTTGCTTTCAGCATGTGAATAAGCAGCACCTGAATGAAATGAAAGAGACTGCTTAATACTACAGAAACCTACTGTATTTGCTTGAACTTCAATTAACCTGATCACATTAGTGGTAGAAAGAGCACTATTTCTCATTATGAAAGTTGCCTGTTATTTTTGATTCTGGAGAATTCAAAACATAATATGCCAAACTACAGGTATTTGGGTTCAAATTTCCCACATTTATTTACAAAAGCCTTCTCCCTCCCTCCCCTACCTGCTAAGACTTTAGCTGAAGTATTCAGCTATTTCTGTGAAGCAGGGCAGGGAAAAATAGGAGATTTTGTTTATCTAAAATGATAATTTTGAGTGCGTGAATTTGTTATTATGGGGCCAAGACTTCTGCAGCAGCAACAGATGACAGCCTTTGTGTTGCGTCATTTTTTGCTTGCCCCCTGCATGCTGTTGTACCACATGATCCATAACAATCTGCCCAAACAGATTTACTATAAGCCTTTAATGAAAAAAAAAACCCCAACTCAAAAGATGACCTTGTAAAGCTGTGCACCTATACATACATTTACTGTGATGCTACCCTCAGTACATGGCTGCTGTATTAAGGGTGCCCAGGAAATCTAGAAATCTAGAGCACTGACTGGTGCTCATGCAATAACGTAAGTCTGTAAGTCTTACATCCTGAAGAATAAACTTCTGTATTTCTTCACAAACTTCTGCTAACAACAATACATAGCACAAAGCCCAGAGGTATTTGTTAAGTAGATCCTCAATTGTTGACATCATCAAAACACGCATTTATGTATTTGATACTCTGTTACCTTTCACTTTCAAAGAACACCCTTTCGTTCATGTGTATTAAGCCAGAGAGGGAGGAAAAAGAACCCCACCCTTACCTGATCTACCTTCCATCTACTATTTTGTTACCTAATCAATGAAAAGATCTATTTAATCTCAATCATTTGAGTCCCTGATTAAATGTAGAACCTCTCCCCAAGAAACAGATGATACCAGCAACTGCAGGATAACAGCTTGGGTGAAATAAGTAGGTTATTTCAATTCAATTCAGTTCTTAGAAGTATTTGTTTGGAATTTTGGAAGTGATGCTTTGGTACTGCCTCCAGTCTTAAGAGTGGTTACCCACTTTTTTCTAATCAAACTTGTCAATTGATGAAATGCTTTTCGCTTATACTAGATGAAAAAGGCCACAGTTGCACAGCAGAACAAAAATACTCTAAAACTAGATCAGATTTTAACATCAAATTTTGACAAAGTTTATAGGTTTTTAGGTTTTGCTTCAGGTACTTTTTTTTAAATAGACAGTGCGAAGGATATGGCTAACACTTATGGGGAAAAGAAGTCACTTTAGTTCTTATTCTTGTCCTGAACTTGTACGGTTCAAAGCAACATCAAAGCATGCTACCTTTGCCAATGATGAGCAGAGGCTGCTTGGAAAGAGCAATGATAGACGTTGCTCTGGATACAGCAGAGCTTTCAGCTGTGCTGATGGGAGGTGGCAGGCAGCATTCCACATACCTGGAAGTCAAGCAAACCAAAGAGGCTCTTAAAAAATTCAAAACAAGATATGTTGAAAGATAAAGCTGCAGTGGCTACACACCATGTTACTCTCAGCATTTATCAGAACACAATACATTTTTCTTTAAACAGGCTTTAAAGCTTTTCTTGCATATTCCTTTCATCTCACAGGTAGTGTTGTTCCAGAGATTTACAAAGTGACATCATACTGTATTAACATCATATTACTTCATTCCCTTTTTGCACATTTCATTACAAACTATAATCCATGTTGCACTGTGATGGAATGTTTACATTCAGAGGCTAGATTTTCTTGTTCTAAGAAAATGCAAAAATAACTAAAGTTTATTCAGTGACTTGAAAAATAATGAATGTAATCTTTACGCACTTGATAGAGCTCTTGTTCACCTGAAGATTCACAAAATCTCCAGGTATGTCAATATAGCAGGAACCTGGACGACCATATATGCTGGTTCTTACAGCCTAGAAAACAGATAATCAGTGTTAACCACCGCTTGAAAAGACATTAAGAATCTTTATGTGTAAAAACCAAGAAACCAGTTCTGCAGGCAAAGAAGGAACATGCTATTTCATACTGCTGAACCATCACAGGATTGATTTTTTTCCAATAAATTCAAGTTTTGATACATTTTTCCCTAAATGCAAAGAGAAATCTTTCAGTAGATAGACAGTATTAGACTGCAAGTTCTTTGCCTAATTCAGTTAGACAACTGCATTAGCTGCTGTGTTTGGAAATCTTAAATTAAACTTTCATGTTGCATTCTATTTAAAGAAGCACAAACACTGAAAAAAGACAACCAATGGCTCCATTTCCTATTACTTTGCATTCCAGTTCTTTTATTGCAGGTTGCAGAGTTGCTACAGCAAGAGATTTTTGTAACCCTTTCTGAAGCACTAAAGTAAGGAAGTGTTCTCTCTCATTCCCTCAAAAATCCCACCAAACCAGCACCAAACTCAAAACTCAAAACTCAAATATAACCATCTCCTCTGCCCACCCTCTAAATCTCCTTCACATAATGAGAGTGGTAGAAGAGCTGGAGTTTGTATTATTACATTTCTAGTTATTGCACCTCTCCCTAAAAGCTTTTTGTTTCATAAGAATGTTCCAACTCTGACTGAAGCTAACAAAGAACACTGCAGGTATCAGTAAGCATCAGGCTAGACCAGAATTTGTTTCTAACGTGTTCCATAGCACTGCTCACAGGAAAAGCCCCTCTGCTTGTTAATTCACTCCATCACCTAACATCTGCTGGATAAAACTGTTTTTGGTAACAACTATATAAATAAACCCTCAAAGCTTATATAGAAGGAGACAGTTATTTAATGCTCTCTTGCCAATTTAGTATTTTTCATACCTTTTCAATAACAGCAGGAATAGCTTCTAGGCTGCTTGGGCGGACAGACAGCTTGTTGCACAGCCTACCAGCTTCAACCTGAATAAATGCATATAACTATTATATCAGTTTAGCAAAGTGATTTGATTGTTTCCATCTCATTTCATCATGAATAAAATGGAAGAAATGCCAAGTGGAAAGCAACAAGATGAAAACCCCCATGAAGAAAAATGCAGTTCCTCAGTTGATACAAACTGTCAAAGCCATACTCATTCTCTTAAGTGCTTAAGTATTTATTCTTTTTCCTCCTGGAAACTGGTGCTACTTTTCTTGGAGAGTTTACTGTCTTCCATCTCAGAGCAAACAAAGGCAATTTATACCAACTGAGAACCTAAAACGGCTCATGAATTCTAACGTGAGTATGGGAAAAGACATTCCAGGTTATCAGCTATATTTATAGTGTCAATTTTCAACCAGTAGATGGAGCAAGTCAACAGCATTATAAGATCTGTTAGGAAACGTTAGCTTTTGGTGTTGTCATTCCCATACTAATGAAGAAACAACATCAATTATTTAACTGCAACCTTTCTGTAGAAAACTGTATGTCTGTGTACCTGAGGGAATTCTTGGAAAGCTCCCATGGTTTCCTGATTTCTGTCAGAAGCACCTCCAATAACAATCAAAGGCCTAGAAAAGTGTATTAAAAACAAACAAAACAAAACCAAAACAATCTTAAGCATACAGGTTTTTTTAATAACTGCAATCAGATCTCTACATTCCTTATGGTCAAATCCTACTGCTCTTAGCATGGTGTGCACCTTCAGCACCCACAGATCTCAACAGGAACAGGAAGCGACCAGCACTCTACAGGAGCAGATTCTAAATATCAATGTGTCACCTGGTAGGCTTCCTAGCAGCTTCCGGGTCACTAGTTTTAGGACAGTCTGGACATTTTAAGTGAACTGCATCTAGCATAAAAATTCAAAACTGAAATTATGTTTCTAGAAATTTTAAGTTTGATAGCATGGGTGACAAAGCGGTTTGAGAGGAATGACAACAGCTAATCTAAAAAGCTGACAGGTACTGATTGATCTAAAAAGTATCAAAATGTTTAAGAGGCAATGTGACATGCACAAACACTAGAAATACAGTAGGAAACAATCCTTTCAGAAAGATTTTATATATGCAATTTGTAAGACAGCAGAAGTTAGCTAACTATCCAACAGCATTTCTTCCTGCATTCAGTTTTTAGTAAAAAAACCCAAAGAGATGAACAAAAAATTAACATGCCTATAAGCATTCCTGTTCTTTCTGAAATTAGTTCATGGCTATGTGAGAAAGGCAGCATTAATTTACAATATAGGTTATACATTCCACAGGAGCACTTTTTACTATCACTTCTACAAAATAATTAATTTCCCTACAGTGAATAACAACTGGTCTTTTATTCAGTTTGTAGGTCAAATCTTCAAAGTGCTAAATGATGAGTCAATAAAAGAAAACTGATTTATGAATTTGCTCATTCCTCTAAAATAAATAAAATATTGGATCAATAGCTTTCTAGGCTTTTTCTCCTAAAAAATTTCTCATCAAATACTGCCTTTCCTTTGACTGCATTTATCTACGCAATCTATTGAGCTGAAATGTTTACAGTGAGCTCAATGCATAATCCTAAATTTAGTCACCCTAAAATTTGGGGATACCCCTACCTAGAGCCAAGCTTAATAACCACACCACCTCTCTGCTACAAATAAAAAAAAAAAAAAAAAAAAAAAAATCACCAAAAAAAAAAAAAATCACAGTTCTAATCCCCTGACACTGCGAGATGAGAACTTCAGGCTTATTTCTGTGAAAAATCATTATGGAAAATGCATTTGATGTATGCTCTAGATATTTTATTCTGCTGATTCTCTCCTCTGAGCAAAATGCCCATCACTATATATAACCAGCCTGTTCACAGTGACAAACCTTACGGTCCTTTCATTTACCTTTTTCAAATTTATTTAAGTATGTTTTAAGAAAACAACTACTGCTTCCCAATACTGAACTATAATTAAGAAAATGCTTTACTCTTAAAAGAGTCAACTCCAGTAGCTGTATCTTGCAAAGATTTGGTTCTGCTTTTAAAGTTTACACAGTTACAACCAGAAAGAAGTTCTTCCCCCAATGAAATCATTGCATTACTGTCACAATACTGAAGACACTTTAAAGAGCAGTGTTTATAAAATTAAATCAAACGTAACAGTGAGGCAGGAAGGAAGAACATCAATTGTAATAAAACTAATAAGAATAGCAAGCCTTATGGAGGAGTAAGGAGAAGTAAACTGGAAAAAAAAAAAATCAGATGCAATTTCAGGTGAAGAGCATGATATTTCACCATGCTACTGTATACAGAAAACTTAACTATTGCAAACACTTCTTTGGAGTCTATTCTCATAGCCAAAGAAGATACTAAAACTTTTGCTCAGCTTGAGGCAGGAGAGAAAGAGGCAGCACGACACGTAACTTTTAACATGAAATATCAAAAGGTTTTACCCTCAGAAAGGCAGTCTACCAAGGCCTCATTAGCTACCTAGGGAGCTAGATTTACATGTCCAAGTGTTCACTGTGACAAGCTTCCAGGACAAACCAAAGGCTCTTCTACTCAGCCTAGATGTGCTCAGGCAGTAAAATCTAAAAAGCACAATTAGCATTACATTAAGCTATCAGACTGCTTGACTTTCTTACAGTTGGTAAGTTTCTTTCTCACGGATGAGAATGAAACAGAACAGGATCAGAAGAAAGGGACTCCAGGCTCAAGGAGAACAACTCAGACAGAGCTTTAATGACTATCCCTTAGTCTGACTTATGTCAGAACAAGCAGAGTCAGATCAACTATTAGCTTACTTCTGTAAGAAATGAACCAAAACTCAGCCATTGTATCACATTAACAATGCCAGATGTAGTGTCATGGAATCACATGACACTTGGGAGATAGCTATGAAGGCAAACCTCGCCTTACAAATCAGTGTACTCACACCACTTCTTTACAGGGGATGGTATACAGCAAGAGAATTAACACCTTGATGCCAGAGAAAGAGCAAGATCTAATGTGTAATGAACTGAATGTGGCTGTTGGGACGGACAAGTGAAAAGCTGGCAGGAAGGCAAGCAGCAGCACATGGCTGGAAGACAGGTGTGGCGATGATATGGGCCTATGTCTCTTTTTATGCAGACTGTGCAAGATTGGTGTAACCAAACTCCCTAGTGTGCATTGTTTTTTCACCTCCTTTGCTTGGCCTTCTCCTGCTCTTCCCTTGCAACACTTCTCCATAATTTCTGCCCAAGCTGCTTTCTAGTGAAACAAGCTAGAAAGCTGATTAGTTAACATAAAAATCCCATTTTCCTCTTCAAAGCATGGCACCCTTTCTTACAATGGTTTTGCAAGCCAAAAAGTAAATGTGAAAAAGCATGTTTGGGATTCTCAGCCACTCAATGGAGGTGCCTACTAATGAACGAGCCAAGAAAAAAGTTTCATTAGGCTAAACTTAGGGTCTGCGAATGCTCCTTTCATCACGTGGCAGGCAGAAAGCAAGCCTGATGTGACCAATGAAAATATCACTGGGCAAATACTTTAGTTTGGCCACAGAAAACCAGTTTCTTGCTATATTGTGAAATCTGTTGAACTAGGTAAGTCACTCCCTTCACCTTTTACCAGGAGTTGATACAATATCAAGTCATGGGTCTGTTTACCTGATAAGACCTGTTTACCTGTTCTCAGGCAAAAATAAGTGTGAGAAAACAGAAACAAATCCTGCAAATCCATAAGCAAGTGCTATGAATGCTTCTTTCTTATAACCAAATCCATGACTGCTCAAAAGCAAGGTTTTCAAATGACTTTTTTTTATCTAAGGTCACATAGGGACAGCAAAACTTTGGCCAATTTTTTTTTTTTTTTAAAAGCATTTGAACACTAGAGATCTTTTTTTCCAGAAACTTGATTTGTTACCATTCCATTATGAAGCTTCCCTTGTCAATCAGCCACTGCTCATCTTATGCCTCTCATCAGGTGTGCTTGGTATTACCAGAGCTTCTACCCAAAATACCACATACAGCTTTCTGAGCGGCAAACCAGCTAAAACTGCTATGCCTCAGTGAAAGCTTATGGGAGTAAATGCTATCACTCTGTACATCATTTAATTCAATATTTAATGACTGCTCTAAATGTCTGTGTAGAGAGAAAATAAGGATTTTAACAATGCAATTGTCAATTTGTTCACATATGAAAGAGTAATTCAACAGTGATGCAAATTTAAAAGTCTTCATGACCAATAAAGCATTACAGGCTGAATATCAATTTTATTTTCAAATGCATCCAAACAATCAGGTATACTAACAGATTTCCCAATATATGCACGAAGTAAGACAAAAAGGAGAATTTATCCATGAAAATACAAAACGGCGGATTAAATGACTTTTAGGGATGATAAACCAGGAATTTGCTTCTCATTACCCACATGAAAGAAATAAAAGTCCTATACTAAATACTGTGGAGCTCAGCATCTGCAACAAATAGCAGCAAACAATTATTAGACTTTTAAAGGGAAAATATAGTTAAATTACCAGCAGTTCACAGTTGCGTTTGCCATCCCACCAAGGGCATGTAAAAAACCTGGCCCGGACACAACAAGACATACTCCTGGTCTAGAGAAAAAAAAAACAAACACCACAGAAAAAACAAAAAGCCTGAAATTAAAATATTAATCATGTCATCAACGTGCATGAATTCAAGAGATTTGCATAAAGGACTAAAGACAGACATGGGAATCAAACCATCAACCTAATTGAAAGGGCAAGTGAACAGTTGTTACGTGCTACTCCCACAGACACCTGCAATGTACACAGGCTTGTAACACAGCTCCTTACTTCCTTCATCACATTTATACAGAATTTATGGAATGCTTATGTTTGCAGTTTTTTCAACTTCACTTCAGCACTAGATATCAATAAAGAAAGCTCACAAAGGAAGAAGTGCTTCCAATCCAACACAAATTTTATCAGTTTAATTCCAGGCAGAGGCACTTCATATTCTATAAAGTGATAAGAAATGCTCAGTAGTTAAGAATGACTTTTTTTTCTTCAGTAGCTTTACAGACTTTATGCATATCAGAAAAAAAATCCACACCCAAAACCCCCCAGCTTAATTCAAGAGGATTATTCAAAGGATGAAAAACTATAAAACTGTATGTAACAGGTGTCATGCTTGCAGATGGAATAAGGAATGGTCACCTGCATCACTGGTGTGCATTTGTGAGCAAGCAGACACCAGATGTTTACTTTAGAAAAGGATCCAAGGGATACCCAAGAAGCACACCTCACAGGTCACAGAATGCTTCCCAAAGACCTTAAGAACAAAATGCAGTAAAAGAGGAAAAGCCAGTACCTTGTCTGGGAGACTGTAAGGCATACGATCAGTCTCTGTCTGTACTGATAAGGTATTTGTTTAACAATAAGCCCAGATGACGAGATTGAGGTATAGCAGGTCCACCAAGTTGCAAAAAAGCAATGGCGGCATTTCTGCCGTTCATACCAATGGTGTATAGCTACTCTTCAGATATTAAAAGGGGGTGCAGGGAGGAAAGTTATAAAGTGGGCAATATTATAGGAGCTTAAGCACCTTGTTGCTTCTGCCCTGAATCAGAGCAACAGAAATATTGCTAAGTCTTACTATTATTTTAAAATTCATGTTTCATCTTAGGTGCCCTACATCTGCACACACTGAAAATACCCAGCTCCAAACCAGAGAAATGTTCCTAGCTTCTGTTGAGTCTAACACAGTTACTATTATAAAATATTACTATAAATATTAATAAATATGGAATGTACCTGCCAGTCAAATATCCAACAGCAGATGCAGCGTAACAGGCCTATTGAAAATATGGGAGTTGATGATACAATTATTATTATTTACACATTTAATGATATCTTGTACATAACTTTCAACAAAAATACTGAAAGCAGATACAGATTTTACCCTTATAATCAGAGCTTAAATATAAGCAAACGCACCCCTTCACCCTCCCCATCATAAGGTGTATTCATGAAGGTTCATGTGAAAAATCTCATGACTGCCGTCTATATTTCAGATTCCTGTTTTTCCATCAGGAAATAATTGGGATTAAAAGAAAAAAAAACAAAACAAAACCCCAAGCCCCACATATAAAAGAAAACCCCTAAAACCAGGGAAATGAGTATAGCAAAGTAAGAATCTTCTGCCTTCTGGACTAGCACAGAAGAGGGATTTGCAAGAGAAAAGCAACAAGCAGAAATCCAGCGATTACTGGAATGACTCACTGTACTTCAGAAATTTGGCAAAAGGTTGAAATCACACACTGCAGAGACTAATCAGAAGTTAGCAATTGTCTTTTAAAATCACACACTACAGAGATGAATTAGAAGTTAGCAATTGTCTTTTACAAGCTGAGCTGCTGAAGTACTTCTCATTCCTAGTACCACACTTAGCTTTAGCTACTTCAACATTTCAAAGAAAAAATGCTTTTTGAATGACTGTCGCAAAAGTTATACCTACAACTTGTGTTATCCTAGCTTATCACCAGTATTATTTCAGAGTATGTTTTTATGCTATTGCTGTAGCATATTTATCTATTAAACACTCAGACATAAATTTTACCTGGTAACAAGACAACATGTGATCAAGCAGAAATGAAGCTTACAGGTGACCCACAAACACCAAAGGCTTCACACCTGTGACACTGCCAACTCCTTCATATTCTCATGCTTTTGTCTTGAATTCAGCACGTTCTAACACTTAATGGAAAAAATTCATTTTGCAATTTATTTTTCTCTTTAATATATAGGCTGCCTCTATTTAAAAATGCAAGAGTTGAGATTTTGCATTTCAGTTTCGAGTACTATTGTGGTAAGAAGAATAAGTAACAAACCCCTAAAAGTTTACAAAAATATTTTCCTCAAACCTAAGAATAATTCTAGGTAACACAGCATGCTAGGAATCTCAGCTTAAATGAGTGAAAACACGGATATCTTATAAGCTTCTGCATGGAAGGAGAAACAGCTTTTAGTATCTTCACGCTCCCACAGATACAGACGAACTGTGTGAGCAAAAGCATAAAGAAGAATGAGAAGAAACCCTCATTTTCTTTGCAGCATTAAGAAGGAATTGTTGACAAAGAAAGTACATTGATACTAAAAATCTCTTTCTACTTTTCATATGC